AGCTGTGCTCTGTCTCCTGAGCAGTCTTTTGGGAAGTAGCAGCAGCTCTTGGATAGCTGTGGGTAACCTTCAGAGACCCGGGAGGTAGGGGGGGGGGAGTGACTCATGTTTCTCACGTGTCTTTACGTGGTGGAGTAGCAGTAAGCCTTTGCTGTGTGAGCATTTTTAAATAACTGCAGACTTGTCTTCCATTGAAGACTCTCTTTTAGGAATGTGCCCATTCTAAAACAAGGTTCTGTTGAGTCAAAGATGCACTGCCCTGGGCCAAATGCTTGTGTCTTCCAGCTGAGCAGGCCATCATTCGTTCACCATAGCTTCAACAGATGTTTCCCATGCCAACCAAACACCACTCCAGACGTGGAATGAAAAGTGTACATTCATGGAGCTTTCCTTCCCGAGCAGTGAAACAGGAAGTGCGGATATCTGTGTAAAGATACAGGACATCACTAATGCTAAAGCTTAAAGAGAGAATTAAACCAGAGGAAAGGGAAAGGAGCTTGGCTTGTGAGCCTGCATTTCACAGTAACACTTAAGCAGGAATTTAGGGATAATGAAGGAGTTAGCCATGCATGAGTAAGGGGGCAGAGCATTCTAGGCTTAGGAGCCACTGAGCAGGAGCACGGCTGGCAGATGAGCCGGGGGGGGGGGGGGGGGGGGACAGGAGGTACAGAGGAGGCATCAGCTCATACCCAGCCCTGGAGACTACAGGGAGGACCTTGTGTTTCTGGTTGACTTGGGAAGCGCTCGGTAGTTTTGGACAGAGGGTAGGCAACGCTGGCCTTAAAGAATCTTAGGTCTTAAAGAATTGCTTTGTTGTGTTGAACACAAATTGTAGAAGGGGCCAATTCCCTCAGTAGCCCTTGGAGAAATGTAGACACTCGTCTGACAAGAAGGTTTTCTTAACATTAAGTTGTTTTTATAAATTCTACTTACTGTGCTTTGGAAATTATTTTCTACTTTGAGTCATAGCATTGACAGTTTTAGAAGCAATGTTTTATCCACTGTCTCAGCTAATTCTTATAGTTTTTCAATTCTAACAAAATAACTATTATCTCCCTGCAGACCTAGAAGCTAAAATGTTACAAACCAAGTCCAAAGTCCCATCACAAGTTTGTACATGTTCAAAAAGACAGAAGCACAGTTTTGTCCCCACCTGAATCCATTGACTTGTGAAAGGAATCACAGTGTGTGTGCAAAGGGGACAGGTATGGAGATGTGTGCAGCGTCTCCCAAGCCTGTGAATTTATCTCTTGCGGTGATGGCACTAGCGCAGTAAACAGCTGTGAGGTGTGACATGCCCAGTTCGAAGCAAGCGTCAGCCAATGCTGTAGAAACTCAAGGGAAGTCATGGTGGCCTGAGAGGCTAGTGAAGCAGGGAGGCAGGGACTTGTGGCAGCCAAATTAGATCTGAGTTCAAAATGTAAGACAGTAGATCATCCGAATTTAAAATATTCTAAGCTGATATAATAAGCATCTGATTTGCAAAATAAAGCCAGGGTAAGTAGAATTTAAGATGAACTTCAGTTCAGCAAGGGGTGACTTGGGCCTCTCTGGCTAGCTATGCCATGTCCTACTGGCTGCTGAGACTCGCTTGAAAGTTCAACATGGAACCAGGTGTGCCGATGCTTACTATAATCTGAGCACCTAGGAGGCTGAGGCTGGAGGACCACAAGTGTGCTGACTGGTGTTTCTGTTTGGTTTGGTTTGTTGTCAGTGTGACACAACCTCGAGTCATCTAGGAAGAGGCAGCTTCAGCAGAGAAAATGACTCCATCAGATTGTCTTGTAGGCAGTCATTCTTGATTGATTGATGTGGGAGGGCTCAGCTCACTGTAGGCAGTGCCACCCCTGGTCAGGTAATCTTGGATTATATAAGTAGACTGAGTAAGCCAAGGTGAGCAAGCCAATAAGTAGCATTCCCCCATGGTTTCTGCTTCTCTCCTGCCTTCAAATTTCTGCTTGAGCTGCTGCCTTGACTTCCCTCAACGATGGATTGTAAGCTGTAGGATGAAGTAAAACCTTTCCTCTCCAGGCTGCGTTTGGTTATGGTGTTTATCACAGCAAGAGAAAGCAAACTAGGACACATAGAGTCCAGCCCAGGCAACACTGCAACAAGTAGTAACTAAACACACACACACATACACACAACTCTATTCTTGTTCTAAAATGTGCCAAGGAATATCTTTAACCTCATCTTTAAGGAGAGAAATGGTGTGATCAATGTCATACTTAAGGGTTAAAATGGTAGTGCTGTAAGAAGTATATGGGAATCTTGGAAAAAGAGAGGTTAGGAGCTAGTTGGCAAGTGCTTATGCCAACCTGTGTGCTATAGAGATTTGCATTAGTATGGATCTTGGTTTACTGATACAAATTTAAGGTCAATTTATATTTGTGCGTATGTGTATGCGTGTGTATTTCTGCTCTTGCTTAAGGTATTGTGTTTGTGCAGCTCATTTTAAAATGTAATGTATAATTAATAAAAATATAGGTTAATAGTCATACATGATAGTCAAGCTCATAGTCATGTTAGTTAGGTTTTCTAGATGTACAGAGATATGTATTTCAGATGGATAGGCATTCTTCGAACCTTTCAAAGACTACAGAATATGGCATTTAAAATGTTTAAAAACTTAGGACTTTTCATGACAGTGAGACATACCTACTCCTGGCAGCACCAATCTACTTCAGAGGATGGGCACCAAAGAGGCTCCTTATGGAGTTGGTTAGCCATTTGGGCAAGAAACTGCTCTTGCCTGGACTGCTTGATGGTATGCTGTGTAAACTGGACATGCAGGACCCACAGAGAAATGACTGCTGAACTTGCCTTAAAGGTGAGAATGTCCTTCGGGGTTCGTGCTTCATAAAAGAGTCTGCCAGACATTGTGCAGGGCATGGAAAAAAGTGACAAACTGCCAATACAGGCAGAACTGTCTTTGAAATTTCCTGCTTCATGGAGAAGTCTGCCGGACACTATGGGCCTGTAGGCTCCAACAGTACAGAAGAACTTTGGGTGACTGTCCAGGCAGCAAGATGTCTGTCAATTATAGAGTTTTGGAAGTTGCTTTCAATGAACTTATTGTTTACTTAGGTAATATATATCCTTCTGGAGTCTTTGATGGCGTTGAAGAATTGATAGTTATAGCTTTCCTTAGTTATGGTAAAAGATAAAGTAGATATAAATGTTGTAACTGTAATTCTTGCTTGAAACCTGTCTTATTTTATGTAATTTTAATATGTTAAAGTTAAGACCTTCCTTTTTATTTAAACAGAAAAGAAGGGGAAGTGATGTGGAATTCCCCTCTGTATGCTGTGAATACTGTTGGTTAATAAAGAAACTGCCTTGGTCTGATAGGATAGAACAGAGCTAGGCAGGGAAAACTAAATTGAATGCTGGGAGAAAGAAGGGCAGAGTCAAGGAGAAGCCATGGAGCCACCAGAGACAGACATGTAATAGGCCACGAGCCTTGTAGTAAAATATAAAATAATGGAGATGGGTTAATTCTAGATGTAAGAGCTAGCTAGCAATACGCTTAAGTAATTGACCAAGCAATGATTTAATTACAACAGTTTCTATGTGGTTATTTCGGGGCTGAGCAGTAAGGAACAAACAAGCAGCCTTTCTACAACTTAAACCCAAAGAATTCTTCCTCATCTCAGCTTTCATTATAATGCAGTTCACTTGAAGGACAGACCACAGAGACAGCTTCCACAGTTACGCCCTTCCCACTGAAACAGACACATCCACATAAGAATCATCCTATGAGCTCATGGTTTCCGTTCTTTCTACCTCCTCCTTCCATTGAACATTTGCTGATCGCTGATCCCTGCCTGTCCATCTTCCAGGGGCTGGAGGTTGAGGCAGTCAGTAGACGAGATTCAGGTTCCTGCTTCCATGGAGTCAGGCAATACTGAATAAGCTAATATGTAAGAAATTCCCTCTTTGCTGCCTCTTGCCCTCTAAGTAGGGCCTATTAGCTGTCAGTTTCAGAGTTGGAACTTGAAACTTGAGTTAAATATTCACTCTTTGCAAGATAATTTGGTGGGATATCCTACTTCAGGCTAAAAGATTTAGGAAGATTAATTCATCTGCAGAATTATTTTTTAAATATTTTATCAAAACTATGAGCCGCTTACTTTTTGGCTCGTAGACGATATTGGCTATACCCAGCTGCCTATGCTGGACTGCTTTTACCATTCAACATGAAGTGTTAAGCACACGCTGTTTGTTCCATCAAGAGCAGTGTGCTTTTGTCTTTCTTGGGTGGTTTTTGTGACCTCCCTGAATTCCAGAGAAGGCTTCCTGTTGTCACTGGTGATGCTCCCAGGGACCCTTTGTGTCATTATTTACCAACTGACTGCCTTGGCAAAGCTACGTCAGTTCTTTTCTTAACTGTAACAGTAGTCAAAAATGACATTGGGAAGGGGAAGGATAAAGAAAGGAAGGTTCGTATGTGCCTCTATATGTGCACACGCATCTTCAGGTCAATTTCTGAGTATTATCTCAAGTAGCATTTGTCACCGAAGCACAGGTAATGGTCATGTGTCCTGTTCGCATTGTTCCCCTCAACTAGGACCTGTTACCAGTGATGTGTGGGTGGGTTTGTTTTTATTCTTGTTCCCCACACCCCTTCCCTTTGACTTTAGTACTTCTTAGATGGGAGCCCTGACTTAGTGGATACACACACAGTGTAAACAAGCTCTTTTTGTGAATATACATTGTAAAAGGTTGCATTTTTTCTTACCTTGCTGCTCTTTTCCAAGAGAGAGGGCTAGGGCGATGGGGGTATTTCGTATTGATGAAAGTCAAGGTTTGAATGGGCTTCCATTTGAATAGCGTTTGACCTTCTGCTTCCAGAGAAAAGCTTTGTTATACGTTTGGGATTGGCGTTTGGGTGGGCCTAGCATACCATCTCTGCAGTGTTACATGGTGCACGTGTGTACTTTTATAAACAAGCAGTGTCGGTGTGCAGTTAGTCACTGCAGCTTTCTGATCCCTTTTAGATGTGAAGCCCTCCAACATGCTTGTAAACACAGGCGGACAGGTCAAGCTGTGTGACTTCGGCGTTAGCACGCAGGTAGGTCTTTTCTCTCTTCCACTGCCCCGTGGATTGAAAAGCACCTAGCTTCCAGACAAACAGGAGCTATGCGCCTGCTCGTCGCCGGGCACGCACTATTCATTTTTAATCTCTGAGCGAGTTTCCTTCATCAGAATATGATTGTTCATTGTTTAATGACAGTAAAAACTGCTGATGTTGTAATTACTACTTACGAATAGCAAACTTCATTGCTATGCAGCTTGGCTATGAAAGCGCTCTGACCAGACAAAAGGGAGGACAGCGAGGGAGCCGTGCCTGGGGAGCCCAACTGGCCCACGATAAAAATTAATATTGGGAGCAACAATGGTGGAGGGCCATCACAATGCGCAGCACCAATTTTAATTAATTTCCATTTTGGGCCTCCCCTGAGACCCCCAGTGATGGTGACCCATGCGCATGCTGCAATGTTGATTTGAATCGCAGCCACCTTTCCTCCCATCCAAACACGAGGACCAAAGCGAAGGTCATCTTCGCATTATGAGTTGTCAAAGTCTGTTATCCCTCCAGCCTCTTTAGTTCATCTCGTCCTGGCAACGCGTGGGGCTCCATTCACTTCTTGAGCCATCTGACGGAAAGATGAGGGTGTTCAGATTCTACTTCAAATTGACTTTTTATTTCAGGCGGGTTTGGGGCACTAAAGCGCTGAGCATCACGCTTAAGTGAATTGTTTAAGGTTATCTGCTATAAACCGTAATGCTGTGCTTGTTTAAATTGGAAATCACATCCAAAAGAAAAGAGAGATTTAATCATTTTTAATGTCTTTGTGGATGAATTTGTTCCCTTTTACATAATTTTTAGTTGATTTATAGGAGTGCTGATTGTAGGTTAAATGGGGAATAATTGCCCATTTTATTTCCACATTATCTTTATATTGTTCTAACAGACCGTTTTGTCTCATAGCTGGTGAATTCTATAGCCAAGACGTATGTTGGAACAAATGCTTATATGGCGGTAAGTAAACTTATGCAAAAAGAACATTTAAAGCCAATGTCTTTATCTTTATGTACATGGAAATGTATAATCCTTAAATTAATTCCACTGCTTCCGACTAGTAAGTCCTAAGTTACAAAGTCAGTCCAGGCCCTCGCCAGTTTTCAGGTCTTTTGACAGCATGCAAGGCTTTGTGGTTGGGCTATCAACTTATCTGACTTCCTTGACTTAACTGGGTGGTTCAAGTGTGAAATTGCTGAGTTTTGAAGTTTAATCCTACAGAAGAATTGCACTTGACAGCATATTGGCTACTTCTCCACACCACTTATTTCGTTAATCCTAGTAAACCCTCATATATACAGGCACGAGTCAGTAACCTTGGCTGTTTGTTCTGGGGCCAGGCCCTCGCCTCACCAGCAGTCTTTACCGACGGATCTCCCGATGTTATGCACTTAGTTTTCTCTACAGTGTATAGCTCTGTGTTTTTTCTTAATTGTTAAATTCGTGCAGATATCAGAAGATAAGTTGTTCCATTTCTTTTTCTTACCATTTGAAACAAGAGAAGTTATTTGTGGCTATAAAAGTCTTGAGTTTGTTGGTTTTCTTAATCCCTTCAAGAGTTGGTGAGAGTGGGGGGAGCCAAGGAGAATGCTTTTCTGGTCTCATTTCAGAGTCTTTTTGTTTGTTTTTTCACCCCTCCCCACTTCCTTCCTTTCCCTCTAGAGTCTGGTTTTTATTTCAATGTTTAGAATTGATTTTTACTGTTATGGTTCCAGATTTATGTAAGCAATCCCTCTCAGGTTAAGGAGCTTTGTTGATATCACACACTTAAAAGATTTTAGTATGAGTATATACCATTAATATTTTTAAATGTATTATATTTTTATTTACTTATTGGGGGTGTCGTGCAGATGTGGATATCTCCATCTACCATGAGGGTCCTGAGGGTCCAGCTCAGGATGTCAGGCTCAGAAGCTGGTGCCCTTACCTGCAGAAGCAGTTTGCCAGTCCAGAACCGTGGACCTTATTTTCAGTATTTTTTGTCCATGTGTTAATCATTTTTATAGGATTCTTGATGGAGCAGAACCTGGGTCTACAGCTTGTTATTCTCAGAACAATACAAAGCATTTCATTTTCTTTCAGATGGTCAAAATAGTTTATTTCGGTTTTCATATTTTAAAGAAAATTCACATTTTGCTTTTTCTCTAATTAAATGTGGAAAAAGTAGATCAGTTATGAAAGTTATCGTGTCTGCTTTTTAAAAGTTAGTGTCCTCCGTGACTCCCTCCGGGTGAAAGAAGCTGCTAAGTCCCTCTTCTAGGGAGCAAAGCCCTCTGAATGTCAGCCGCTGCGACTAGGAAAGCTTGACTGGGAAGGAAAAGACGCAATCCATGAAACACCTTCACCGCTGCCCATCCTGCTCTCGGTAGCTTTAAATTGCTCTGATAATTACATTGCATCACATCTGAGCTACAGATCCAGATTACAGTTGTCTTTCCCAGGTGTACGTTAAAGAAATTACTTTTTTCCCTTTTTGTTTATGGATGAATGTGATGCGTCCATATGTTAATTGAAAGTGTGAGGATTAAAATTATGAAACGTTAGCTCGGACCGGCAAAGCTGAAATTGCTTTGTTTCTTGGGTGGATGAATTCTAGTCATCAGCTTTGTAGTTCAAGCTGCAGAAAGCTGAGATGCCCAGGGAGGAAGCGATGAAAGCGAGAGAGAAGGGAAGAGCTGCAGCTCTGCTCCCTTTCTTAGGCGCTGGTTGGCCAGGTGCCTGCCAGAGCCTGGGATGGGGGAGCGTGAAAAGGACCCTCCTTTATGCAAGTGGATACATTGACCCAACTGCTGTCCCTGTTGCTGGTCCCTTGGGAGAAGGCCTGGGCTCTTCAGCTTCATATAAACCCCTGCTGTGTCCTGTTTCAGCTCTTATGGTCTGTAGTTTTGACTATCATGTGAGATTCCGTGCTGAATGTTACCAAACTATAGCTCCTGGGCCTCTGTTTTGTTTGTTCACTTGTTCTTTCTTTCTTTCTTGATTTGTTTATTTGTTTTTATTATTTATAATGTTTATTATTTTAAAGTTTTTGTTTGTTGTCAAGATAAGGTCTCTCTGTGAAGCTCTGACTGGTCTTGAACTCAGAGATCTGCCTGCCTCTGCATCCTAGGTGCTGGGGTTAAAGCATGCACCCCCATGCCCAGCCCAGGTCTGTTCTGTGAGTACAGTTTTACTGGAAGTGGTGAGGGTGTTAGTTTAGGGCTGGATGTGACGTCAGTAGCACCATGGTAGCAGCTGAGCTCAGCTGAGTTGTACAGTTGCATACATCCCTCTAAGTGAAAACTGTTTCCAGGCTGGCCTTTCACAGGAAAAAAACAAAAAAAAACAAAAAAAAAAACAGACGTTTTCCAGCCCCTAGTATATGCCAGCAGAACACATGTCAAGTACCTTCAGCTACATGAACTGGTCTCCACTGAAGGCGCTCCATGCTGTGAATCCAGAGGAGGCACAGGTGAAATTGGAAAAACGCCCTCATATATGGCACCACTGAAAGTGGCGTACTTGAGTCTGGTTGTACCAAGCATATGCATAGAAATTAAGACGGCTATAGTGTAGAGTTGTAATGGGGTATACAGAAGGTACTTACAAACCTGCCTGATCTTCATGCTGCTGGTTTTTAAAGAGGAACGTGGGCTAGAGTACTGTGCCAGTGGAGACTCAGGGGAAGGCTCAGCAAGTGGGAACACTTAAGCACAAGTATGAAGACCAGAGTTTGGATCTAAGCTCTCACGTACAAGCTGGGCTGATTTCACTTATGCTTGTAACCCCAGCACTGGGAGGTAGAGACAGGAAGGTTTCTGGGGCTGGGGCACACACGAGCACACACGAGCTACAAGTTGGGGACAAAAACTACTTTGTCAGTGGAGTAAGCTAGGGAACACTAGAAGAGGACACCCAGTGCCGTCCTCTGTATACAATGTATATGTACCACAGCCTTGTGAGAGGATAAAATGCAATGTCCTCAACCAGAGAAATGCCACATGGGAGTGCCCAGCGAATACCAGAGTCTTTGTGATGGTCAAACCTCCAAGGTGGACAAAGAAAAGACAATAGTCAAGGCAGCATGAAGAAGATCCCGAGGGAATGGTGGGGAGCACAGCAGATGCACACAGACTTAGGATACACGTTTCAAAGAGGACAATGGATGTGCACGCCCCCCCCACACACACGGGAGATGGCTCAGTGGTTATAGCATCGCTGCTCTTGTAGTGGCCCCAGGTTTGGTTGGCAACTCCCACATCAGCTAGCTGAAAGCCACCTGCACCTCCAGTTCCAGGACATCTGGCCTCCATGGGCACCTGCACATACACACACATGCACATACACATACATGCACATACACACACATGCACATACACACACATACACATGCACATACATACACACACATGCACATGCACACACATGCACATACACATACATGCACATAAAACAAACTGCATCTTTCTTAAAGGCCTTATTGGACCTGGTAGCGTGTTGGACACAGCGGGGATTATTAGTGATCTGAAAGTTCTGTCTGCAGTCCTGCTACCTGACCCTGCCTGACCATTTTGCTGTGTGGGGGTGTGGCCTTGCCTACCTCAAAGGAAGCTTGTCACCACAGTACATGCTAGCCTGGGTTTGTGCAGTTTGATATTTTTCTGAACAACCTGACTGAAGAGCAACTCCCTATTCAGAAGAGATAAAATATGGACCTTGATGTCTTCATGCTCCTGCCAGTCACACCCAGGAGTGTTGTGCCATAAACAGTCCTGGAATCCGTTAACTAAATATGGCTCCTGGCTAAATGCCCAGTCACAGGCAGAAGCTGCAGGGAGTGGAGTGTGCCAGTTTAACAGTGCTGCCTTGAAGAACCTCTGTAGCTTCAGCTCTGGGGACATAGTCAGAAACTGGCCAGGATTTGTTTGTTTGGTTGGTTTTATGTACTCTTGGCTTAGTCACACAGAGAGAGGTACTTGAGACAAGAGCTGTACTGTCCTTATTATATAGCTTGCCGCACTGTTGGCAGCTGTCAGGTGAGGCAGTAACAGCAGCCGGCCTTTGACTGTAGCACTCTGTCAGCGATACAGTACCTGATGGTAGTAGGCTTTATCTTCTTTCATATTGTACTTGAGGGGAGAGGACAGGGCATGCCACTGTGGCTGCACCCTCAGGCCATCATATCCTAACTCTACATTCGTGAGGTTCCGAGGCTCATCTCGTGCCCAAGTCGGTCACAGAGGCCTGAGTCTGCCTTGTGCATTGTAGGTTGGGCCTCAGAGCTTGCTGTCTACATTTGCTTCGCCTCCACCAGGGATCTTGTTTTGCTGCATGCTGTAATAATTTCTCCATCTGGAGGCAGCCAGAACCTTGTCTTAAGGACATCTCTTATTGCCACCTGATATTTGTGAATGACTTCACTCTTTATATATTTTTTCTCTTTTAGTTCAGTTTTCTGTGTTTTATTTTCAGTTCTCGGTTTGTATTTGTTTTGGTAGCTCAGTGGGCAACTGAAGCAAATGTGTTTAATTTCATCGTCCAGCCCACCCAGATGTTTTGTGTGGGAGTGCCACTTCTCTGTTTATTTTCTCTGTATTCTAGAGAAATGCACAGCTTGAGGATAGAAAAGTCAGAGAGAGGAAGCAGAAAAGGATGGGGGGAGACAGCATTTGATTGTACTCTTCAACAAGGCTAGAGGGTTTCAGAATGCGCACCATCATGAGTTCTTTGTTGTTTAAATTGTGTGTGCGAGAGAATGTGTGTCTGTGAGTGTGTGTGAGTGTGTGTATTCGTGTGTGTGTCTGTATATATGTGTGAGAGTGTCTGAGTATATGTGAGAATGTGTATCTGTGAATGTGTATGTGTCTTTGAGAGTGTGTGTGTGTGTGTGTGTGAGAGAGAGAGAGAGAGAGAGAGAGAGAGAGAGAGAGAGAGTACACACCCATGCCACAGCATATGTGAAGGTCGGGGGACTGTTTCTGGGAGTAGATTCTTTCCTTCCACCATGTTAGTTCTGGGACTTGAACATGGCTTGGAGGCAAGCAGTTTTACCTATGGAATCACCTCGTTTGCCCTCATTCTAAGTTTTTGATGGACATGATAGCTATAATGTATATGAAGGGTAAAGTTCATGCTTAGAACTGCATGTGTGATGAACACCCCTGAGCAGCCCCCACTGGCTTCATGCTGTCATGTGCCCGTAGTGGCGTGGGGTTTGAAGGCCTCCCTGTGAGGGAAGTAGACAGGAAGAGGGATAATTGCAGTGCAGTGTGGTAGCTAAAAGTGAAAGTCATGCACAATATTCTGTATGTATGGAGGTGTGTGCACAGGTGTGTGTGTGTGTGTGTGTGTGTGTGTGTGTAGGCCAGAGAGCAGTGTTGGTTGTCTCTACCTGCTTTTTGTTAAAACAGCGTCTCACTGAATTTGGAGCTCACCCATTTGGCTAGACTAGCTGGCATTGTTGATAGCAATGGCAGTCATGCTGTTATTCCCGGTTCCACAGAAATACCTCCTAGGACCTGTCACGCTGGAAGATGGGGTGTGAGTTAGGATCTCAGCCCTGCTGTGATTAGCTCTGCAGACTTGAGTGACCATTGCAGTCTTGTGGGACCTCATATTTAGAATTTAGTTGTCCATTTATTTAGTCACTGCAAACATTTCTGTAAGTGATGTGTGGGAGGCCAGATCCTGGAAGGGTAGAGCAGGAGGCACTGACTCAGGATACTGCTAACCCTGGGGAACAGAGTATGCGTGGCAGAGCTTTCAGGACCAGGCAGCTGCTGCACAGCCCGGAGGGGTGGCGGAGTCCCATGTGGCCCCTTGATTCTGTCAGAATACTCTGCTGCATAGAATGAAGCAGAGGCAGGAAGTGACGGACTATACGGGAGGTGACGGACTATACGGGAGGTGACGGACTATACGGGAGGTGACGGACTATACGGGAGGTGACGGACTATACGGGAGGTGATGGACTATACAGGAGGTGACGGACTATACAGGAGGTGACGGACTATAGCTGCTTTCTGCACCAGCCTCAGGCTTTCACCCTCATGTACAGTTGAAATTATTTCAGATAAAAAGTTAAAAATAAAACGTAAGCCATAGTCTTCAAGACCCTTTGACCCAAATTCAAATAAATCACATACAACTTTACACAGTTTGTGCATCCCCAGCTAAGATCATTGGGTTTGGGGGGAGATGGACATAGGGTCAAGTCCTAGCTCATTTGCTACCTTGGTTTCTGCCCCATTAACTGGTTTCTTGGAGCCTTCAATTTCTTGATCAGTGAAACAGTGGTAATGGTTTTTCCATAGGAACTGCATGCAGGATTCTCTGTTGCCAATAGAATGCATATATGCATACATGTGAAATTGTTTTGCTGTGTGTAAATGCCATGCAAATGATGGGGGTTCCCCATGTTGAGCTTACATTCAGTGTGTGCTGCCAGGGGTAACTTTCAACAGCTCACAAGTTCCCTTGTGCTTTCTTACAGCCAGAAAGAATTTCAGGAGAGCAGTATGGAATCCACTCTGACGTGTGGAGCTTAGGAATCTCTTTCATGGAGGTATGTTGCTGTTTGCTGTCATTGACACGTCTGTACAAATACATCCCATTGGGAAGAATGGAGGTCTTGAAGGAATACCACAAACCCCCACTCAGTGTGTGTGCACATCGCCTGACTCTGAAATCCTCATGTTGATATCCCACGTGACTTTCGAACCAAGTCTGCATTATTCTAGAGCACTGCTTCTCACACATCACGTGTGTAAGACATACCTGAAGTGTTCGTTAAAAACACAGTTTGTCAGCCCTACGCAAGACCAGTTCAGCCCAAGTCTCCTAGAATGCGTGGGTGGGAACTGTTCCCTGGGTGGGAGCCCTGCTTAGGCTGGAGCCCTGTTCTCTGCACACGGACTCCATAACAGCGCAGGGTGATGGCAGCCATGGAATGTGCATGTCTGACATCCAAGGGGGATGTTTTAAAAATCAGTTATAGTCATTGGATATATATGTTGTATTTTCTTTCTTAAAGAAGAAAAACCTACCCCATTCTAATAAACAATATGTGCATGTGGGGTAGAGGTGATGGGATGGGGGGTGTATGTTGTATAATTTTATGTGTTTACTCTTTATTGCTGTATTTAGAATGGATTTTTTTTCCCTCAGTGAGCCAGGTGCAGCCCCATTAGAACTCCATGCTAAGAAATAGTCATACAACTTGCATTAGAAAGACACCTGGCTCACTGGAATTGCACTCCCAGATAACCTGGGCACTCACTGGGGCTTTCAGAAAAGCTTTTCAATTCCATCCATTCCCATCAAGGAAGCCTTTTTTTAAAAAAAAAAAAAAAAATAGGAACATGTTTAAATAACCCCACAGATGAAGTCTCCATCACAATCCTATCGCTTTTGTTTGGTCAAATACATTTTCTGTGATCTTTCTTTGTAACGCATGAATACCATTGCATTTGGAAGGAAATATCTCCAGACCCAGCTCACCTGCACAGCAGGAAGAATGCCAAGATCAAATGCTCAATGTTTATTAAACCATAGTCTTCTGCCTTTTCCTGAAAGGCTGTCTAAGAGGAACTATAGTGTGCACACTGCAGCCCAGAGGCTGAAGTTAGCCTGTAGATAGCAGGATCCCGAGGACTTGCTCTAGTATTAGCCTGTCTCAGAAAAACTGCCTCTGACCTGTGGGACTCAGGCTTTGCTGGGATGGAATTTCCCTTTGGTGTTTTGATCATTCTCATTGGTTGTGTTTTATAAATGATCAGATACAGTGCAGAACAATTGAGAGGTCTCATCTCATGGTTCAGAATCCAGTGTTGGACACAGAAGACCCAGGTTGCAGTACTCGCTTTGGTACTAGTTTCCTAGGCGGCCCTAGGCCATCCTGCAGCCCCACCAGGCTCAGGTCTGAGCCCCAGTGCAGACTGACATTCTGTATAGCACTGCTGCTGCTCTTTCCTGTAGTTCCAGCAGCTGGAGAGCTGTGCTGGAGACAGAGGTGCACCCTCGCCTATTGGAAGCCTAGAAGCACTGTTAGGAGGGCTGGGAATATAGCCCAGTTGAGAGAGTAATTGCATAGCACACATGAAGCCCTGGTTTACTTACATGTGTGGCATATGAGTAGGATGTGATTCCAACATTCAGGGATGGAAGCAGGAGGATCAGAATTGCAGGATCATCTTTATCAGATGTGTAGTGAGTTGGAAGCCGGTCTGGGATCTATGATATCATCCTTAAAAGAAAAAAAAGTACTGTTAAGAAAGTATATCTGCCAGGCGGTGGTGGTAAACACCTGTAATCCCAGCACTTGGGAGGCAGAGGCAGGCAGATCTCTACGAGTTTGAGGAAAGCCAGAGGTACTTGAAAACCTAAACAAAAATAAAAGAAAGGAAGGAAGAAAGGAAGGAAGAAAACGTACCCAGGCTAGTCTGAAGGAGCTAGTGAGTGATATAAATTGGTTGTTCCTCCTTCTCACTACTGTACTTGGCTAGTCTCATAATGAGAAAATGAGAGCCCCCACCTGACTAGAGTGGAGTTATCAAGATAAAGGCTGGAAAAAAATAAATGAGAGGTAGCCAGGGACTGGGTCACATACCCCCAGGCTCAGGGCTTCGGAGAGTAAGTGGTCTGACTTCAGTTTTCAGCAGGTCACAGAGTGCTCTGTGGAGCATGACTGTAGAAGGACAGGCATGGAAACAAGAGGATCAGAAAGACCAGGTGGAAAGATTGGAATATGACCAATAAATATATTGAAATATGCAGCCTCAGTATCTTACTAGGCCCTGGGAATGTGAAGCCTAATAAAAAGGGGCACTGCACTGTAGGGAGGGGTCAGCCAGTGTGTGCATTGTATAGAGGGAGACTGCCAGTGTGTGCACTGTAGGGAGGGAGACAGCAGTGTGTGCACTGTAGGGAAGGAGACAGCAGTGTGTGCACTGTAGGGAGGGGTCAGCCAGTGTGTGCACTGTAGGGAGGGAGACAGCCAGTGTGTGCACTGTAGGGAGGGAGACAGCAGTGTGTGCACTGTAGGGAGGGGTCAGCCAGTGTGTGCACTGTAGGGAGGGAGACAGCAGTGTGTGCACTGTAGGGAGGGAGACAGCCAGTGTGTGCACTGTAGGGAGGGAGCACTCCATAGCTGGATGAGGGCCAGAGAGAGAAGGGTTCTTTTATGCTCTGTTTACAAGGAATGAGATGGAATGAGTCATGAGGCGAAGTCTGCTTAAAGTTTTCAAGGGAGACAGGGGCTTAACTAAGTCATCCCAAGGAGTATACAGGTGGCGGGGAGGTGTTGTCCCCATCCTCTTAGAGCTTCTGGCCCACTAGACTAACAAGTGACATGTGACCAACTTAAGTAATGCAGCAAGTCTCTAGAGAATAGAGTACAGCCTCTGGCACGTGTTTTATACCAAAGTATTTGGGGTCCAAGGTAGAGAAATGCATGGTAAAGGAAGAAGATTTTGATTCTACAACTGAAATGTTATGGTTCAGGGCTCCTTTGTTATTGGGTCAGTATGAAGAAAATGCCATCCAAACTTAAGTCAAAATAAGAACTCAAAGACTGAGGCTCCTCTTTCTTTTTACCAGAGAAAGTTGGTCTAAATGTGATAAGTACTATTCAAAACCATTACAGACAAATACCTGTAATCCCAGCATTTAAGACTGACGCAGGAAAATCATGAGTTCAAGGCTAGCCTGAAGTACATTAAAAAAAAAAATGAGGGCAGGGGAGATAGCTCAATCAGTAAAGCACTTCCCACACAGGCACAAGGACCTGCATTCAGTACGGACACCCACACAGAAATGCAGGCTGGTAATCCCAGTACTGAGGAGGCGAAGATAAGTAACCCAGGGATACTGGCCAGCCTCGCCTAATCCTGGCAGTCAATCTCCCGGTGGAAAGTCCTTGTGTTAAAACCCTTAAACTTTAAGACATAAAGGATGTTCCCCAAGGCTGACCTCTGCTTTCACACACACATGGACATACACCCTCACTGCTGCACATACACACACGAATGCACAGGACACAGAAGTGAACGTTGAAATGGCATTTTAAAATCTGAGGAACCCAGGCAGTGGTGACACACGCCTTTAATCCCAGCACTCAGGAGGCAAAGGCTGGCAGATCTCTGAGTTTGAGGCCAGACTAGTCTACAGAGTGAGTTCCAGGACAGCCAGGGCTACACAGAGAAACCTTGTCTCATAAAACAAAACAAAACAAAAATCTCTGAGGAACCAGTTGCAGCATGTTCCACAATCAGCACTTTAAAGACAGTTGCCTCTGGTCTCACTTCTAAAACTGCTCTCCGTGTGTCCGCCAAGCGTAGGAGCCTTCGTTCATTCCTCACTTCTGCCCGGCGTAAATACCATGGTAGGTACTGCAGAGCACTGGCCATGTAACCAGGAAGACCCTGCCTTGATAGAGAAGAAAGATGCTAGAACCCTGCAGTGACACGTGACAGGTCTCAGCAAAGGTGTGGGTGAAGCCCTCATGGCGAGCAGGGGTTGACCAAGGGTTGATTTCTGAGTGGAATTGGTCTTGTAGGGGGTCTGCCATCAGGAGGAGGGACCATCCCTCCCTACCCATTCAGCCCACTCTGGTGGACTGCTGTAAGCCCTTAAGGAGGGATTAGATGGCAGTGTAGGAAGGTAAGCTCCCCACAGTCTCCTGACATGTGGGCACACCTTCTCAGCATGTTTTCAGCCAGCAGTCCATTCCCATAGGAGATCTGTGCCAGAAAAATAAAAGATGGGCAGCAGAATAGGAAACTAAGCAAGGGCATTTCCCAGAAGCACCCGGGAATCAAATAGAGACAAATGGGAGAGTTTCCTGTGTCTGCTGCCACCCCAGGGCCCCGCCTCCTGTTCTGTAAACCTTCCTCTCCAAGGTCCATCCTTGTCAGCTCCTTCCTGCTGCCCCTTCCCTGTTAATATACTGTCATGGCCCCCATAGGGAGTCGTAACAAGACCTCTTGCCACACTCTTTCATAAAAGATAATGCTACATGCCTCCAAAGTGTGCAGATAAAAAAGAATCACAGACAGTTACATTTGTGCCTTAAGCAAAGAACCTTTAATATCAGACTATCTTTTATCTGTCCCCTCTTCTCTCAGGTCAGCAGCCCTCTGCTCCTGGGATAAAGTGGGTCTCCTCCAGATGTTGTCATCTGTGTGAAATATTTGGAGTGGGCAAAGTAGCCCAAAGATTGAAGTAAGACTATTCAACCTGAGTTGAGGACAGTGGGTTCTTGGGTGGGGGCGCGATCGGCCCCTTCTCTGCTGTGTGCTTACAGTTTTTCATGCAGATCTTTCAAGCGTTTGTGGCTCCCCCCTTGTGGATTGGTTATGAAGCCAAAGAAAGGAGGTCTCAGTGTGTGGGTTTTGTGGGCTTCCTTTGTAGTGGGGGAGAAAACCCATGTGGACTTAAGTTCTTCCGTAGGACACACCAGGAGTTGGTGTGGGAATGCAGAGAGTAAAGGAGTGGACAGCTGTGAGACCAGCAAGACTGAGAATCCCGGGCTGCGAAGAGCTGGGGGGGGTGGTCCTCCCACCCCAG